AAAAAAAAAAAAAAAAAAAAAAAAAAAAAAAAAAAAAAAAAAAAAAAAAAAAAGAAAAAAAAGAGGAGGAGAGGGAAGACAAGATGTCATCCCACCTCAACGTCACCCTTCTAAAACATTTTGAATGTCGTTGCAGTAGAATAGAAAGAAAGATAGTGACATGACGAGTTCATTTAGTTGCAGTGGGAAGCTGGCGAAACCATAACCTATAGTCATCTTCAGCAAACTTATCCTATAAGTAAGGCTGTACCAAATTCACATCTGAAATAAAAAATGAAATGGCTACGCAAATAGTATGTTATGAAGCGCATTATCATAATTATTCTTTCAATAAAAATTTAGCCCACAAAAGACCTCTTAATGAGCAAGCTCAAAACTACTTGTAGTAATTCATGACAACTCAAAATAAATGCTTGAAGAGAAGCAGTAGCAAATCAAATACTTTGAGATGAGATACTAGACCATTGTGAAGCAAAATTGAAGGTCCCATCTTCATTAGGAAGTATAATGAAAAGGGTCGGAAAATCTCATACCAGTATAGTTACAGCCTCCTTTACAACACCAGCGACTGTAACTGTGACAGCACTAGTTACGGAGACAAGGATATATTCTGTTAATACCTGCAAAAGGATAACATAATTCTTCACGTAGAGAAGCTAACATTGTATTTAAGCACCAAAAGGTTAGGACAGGAGCGTAGACAGCACTTTACAAAATTGTGCTTATTGTACAGTGAAGGAAAGAATCAAATAGGTTCCTACCATACAGAAGGCAAGTGCTCCGCCAAAAAGCATCAGCAAGGAACTCCGAGTAACATGCCAGATACTATTGAAATATCCATTACTGGCAAATTCTTTCCACGGATCTAAACCAAGGGATAGCATCAAAGTCACAATGGCCATCACTGGTGTCACATAGCTCATTAGGGTAAAAGGATTTTTCAAACCTGAAATGAATGTAATTAAGTTGGCACATAATATTTACCGGCACCACTTTGGCAAGAATAAAATTGAAATCTGGATGAAGCAGCATCGAAGAGTTGCCAAAAAGACCTTAACGCAATATAAAATGGATTGATTCAAATAGTAACTCACTAATTCTGATGTGTGAACTATTGCATTCGATGAAACAAAATAACATATTATCAACAAAGGCTGAAAATTTTGGGATAAAACTCAAGATTGCTAGAACAAATTGATTATTTTCTCCGTGAAGCCTTGCATAAAAATCCACGGATACAGAACCAAAAGAAATCCAATAATTGACAACTAAAAAGCTCAGAAAAACACTTACCATATGCTTCTCGCTTCATATCCAGTCGGGTAATATATGCATCATATGTGGAAACGTGTCAGGATCCAAGCCAACAAGTAAAAGGGCAAGAAACAGACCAAACAGGTGCTTGGAAGACGGATTCTTGATAGCATAAAACACAAGCATACATGGGAAAAAGAATGGAAAAAATAAAATTCATACCTGAAGAAGAATTTGCGTCATGGACCACCTGAAGCCAGACATAACAGAAGCAAGCATAACAAAAATGAAACCCCATAATTCAAATTCTGTCTCCTTTGCAACTGCATAGAAAAAACCAGGTAAGTAATATTACGTAGCAACAAAAACATCCCTATTAGAAAATTTTAGCCTAGTTGTTATGATAAATGAATTCTTATATTAAAAAATGTCGGAACATATAAGTAATGAATGTTTAATGTTGCTATAGACACAAACAAACAGAGCCAACAGAAACCATTCGCTGGCTCCAGATTCTTTCACTTCTAACTTCAATCTTCCTTTGTGTATGTGACGTAGGTAAACCCACTGTGAGTTCTAAAACACTAGTCCTAACCACCTTGCTGGCTAAAGGTAAAAGGGTTGGGAAGGGACTTTGGGGACTTTGTGGGCAAGGATTCAAATCATATGATAGCCACTTACCAAAGATAAAATTCCACTTTTCTTGCAATAGTAGGTTGTGGAGCCCTGTAGTTTATCTCGTGAGAATAGTTAAGGTGTGACATAACCATAAGTTGGCTATTATACTCAAATTGTAAAAAATAAAACAAACAAACAAACCCAGTCCTTCCTAGGTAAGGGTGATGGATAATAAGAGGGCATGTTGGAACTTGGAACCAATAAAACTGACCAGCTCAGTTCAATTGGTTTGACCATTGATGCATCCGTGGTCATTTCCATTTGAATATTTTCAAGAATTACACATTTTAAATTGTAAAGTTCATGAATTATCAGCTAGGATTAAAAGAAAAATGCTAGATACCTGTTAATAAAATTCCAACAGATATAATCAAGATGATGCCAGAAAGTTTAAAGCTGGGAGCTTCCAACCTGATACAAAAAATTTCATGCTACATGATAAATCATCAATAAAATAATATGATAGGAAAGTACAATATCTAGGAAGGAAAATTCATAATATATGTTAAGAGTTAATGCTCATAGCCCATAAAATATGCAGGAACCAGTATCATAGCCCATAAATAATATGGCTGCAAAAGGAAGAATGGTAACCCAACATAACAAAGAATTTAAAATCCCGGTCCCGCATCCCTAAAGCCTGGCTCCTTTTTCTTGAAAACATATTTCTTCATTTCTTATTTAAAAATAAAATTTTAAAAATGGAATCCTAAACATATAGAGAAAAATACTACATAACTAATCAAATTCATTCTCAATATTCAGCATAACTGACATTCAACAGACACAGCTAAAGAATCTTTGGGAAAGTAAAAAAGTAAAGTTGAAATCATATTCCTACGAAACGTTATTCTCATATGTCATACACATCAGAAAAACACAAAACACTATAAACTTCCAAAAAGTATGAGGTATGAGAAAATTGGATGCAATTAGATATATAATTTCCTATATAAAGGCGCACATGAGAAACTAGATTACACAACTTAGTTTTACAGCTCACCTGAAAGCAAAAGCAAACAGGAGAAGAAATATAGGAGAACCGGATTTACACTGTCAATCAAAAAGAAAGAGAGAATTAGTGTTATGAAGTATAAAGTAGAATATCTTTACAGTATATACAGTTTTTTTTTTTTACTAACAAATAGGCATGATGAAAAGGTATCCAACCATGGTAGCAAATGTGACTGATATCGAGACAAGGGATGCATTGCTTAGATTAATATCCAAGGCTGTTCCAAGAGCCGTTGGGACAACTGTGAAAGGCAAAGTCCATCTGTGGCATTAGTTGATAGAAAAGTTAATTTACAAACGATATAAAAGTTAACGTCCTATGGGTTCAAACAAACGTAAACAAACACCGAATGAATAATAAACACCATTCACGAAATTTAATAAAATTGACACAAAAAAAAAAAAAAAAAAAAAAAAAAGACACACAAGTTTAATCATTCACAAATCCATGAATTTTATCAAATGGAATGACAAAAGATGGAACAAAACACATGCAAAAATTTGTGAACTATTTTTTTAATATTCGTGAGTGTCCCAGCCAGCTTGCATGCACCTCAACTAAACTCACGGGACAATCCACCTAACCCTACAATGTTTGGGTGCCAAGGAAACTCTTAGGATAGTAAATCCTAGGTAGATGGTTATCATGGATTGAACTCATTCCCTCTAAGTTTTTTATTATACACAATGACTTTTATTGACTCCTAAGCCAATGATGGTTAAAGTTTGTGAACTTTTTAGGATAAGGATTTCCCCAAAGATATTAAAACGTAACTGGATAAACAATTTAACAACAAAAGAAAATGCCACATTCTTATAAGTAAATCATAGAGAGCTTTCCCATCTCTTTACCTCATAATGCAATGTATATATTCAAGAAACTATAACTTAATTTTTAGGTTGTAACTTGAATAAGATAAGAAAATGCCTTGATTTATTTTATGACTTTCTTTTGAAAGCAACCTCATCATTACACATAAACTTGGTAGGGTGAAAAGGTCAATTGGAGTATGTATACCAGTATCATAAAAACCTAAATAAAAGCCATTAGTTTCAAGATTACCTTTCGTGAGGTAATCTTTCCATGTCATAGTAACGCAAGGTTGGAATCGACTAGACCAAATCCATGTGATCAAATTTGATAGAACAGCTTGCATAGTAAAATGAACAGTATTCATGAGTAGTGGAGCCGGGAACCTACCCAAATGATCTCCTAATAAAGTTTTATTATATCTGCTCAAACCAGGAGAAACCCATTTAATTGAACATTCTAAATAAATATTACAACCTTAATTATTGATAATGTGAATAAGGAACTTACAAGGTCAAAAGAAGGCTGAAAATATACCAGACAAGAATAAAGAATAATGTCTTTAGGACATTGGCAGTGGATAGTGGATTCTTTGCATCCAGCTGCAGAGAATTATAATCATCACTGTGAAGGGGTTCACAGTCATCGCCATCAATATTCCTCCCAGGTTTGTTCTCAATACTTAAAGGTTCGCATTTCTCACTTTCATTTCCATCAACGTGAATAGGAAAGTTGGCCTCGGTCTCCCTGCCATTAGACTGCATAATTGTCTGATGACACTTTATCAGTTTATCTCCTCCTCAAGATGCCAATTTATGTTAGCTGATCCAGTTGAAGTGAAGGCAGTATGAAACCAGTGTGTTTCGCACTTGAATCTGCATAAATTAATAGATTATCCACTAGGATAGTACCTTTTTGACACACCGTCTAGAGAAAAATGGCTCTCTATGACAACCACCTACTTCTTGACTTCCAGTCTCAATAGATTCAACCCTCACGTGTTAAAGTTTTCCTGTAACCGAAGAATTCCCAGTCATCTCCCATCCTCTACTAAGTTAGAACCATCTATGTTCTCCAACACAATCATTGACAGGTACAAATGAGTAAACAGCAAGCAGGAACTTAATGTATTGACACAAATTATAGTGAGTAGTAAAATTCGTACGAAATTCAATTAGCAATTGAATTAAAAATAAGGATAAACTGAGTCGGTACAAAACGTGGATCAGTATACAGAGTACAGAACATATAATTGGATAGCAATATAGACGTGCAGACTTCATTTCGTGATGATAACGCCAAGACAAGCCCTCTTTCAGAGATTTGTATATTAACACCACCCCCCCCCCCCCC